TAACACTAAGAACTCAAAAAGAATTCAGCCATCTCATCAATTTTGAGTTCATTTTCAGATGCAAAAAGAATTTTTCATAGTTCAATTCAGTGATGAGAATTATTTTTGCATATAAAAATGAACTCAGAATTGGTGACGTGCGACTGAATTCTTTTTGATCTCTCTGTGCTACCTATATAGATATATATGGGGAGTGAGGGGTGGTGTACCGGCGGTTCCCGCCGACCCTTCGATGTGCGCGAGCCACACACTCCTCATAAAAATTAATAACAAATACGTTCGTCGTTTACGCACTGAACTTCAGTCTCAGTAGAAAAATATACTTTATTCTGTTGCACACAAACTACGCTTACTTAACTATACGGTAACATTTATACAAGAGAGAAAGAAAACTATGATAGCGTGATGTGGCTATCCACACGGTCACGAGCGAAAAACAGATCAACCGATAACAAGGCTCGCGCAAACCAAACACACTAGACGACTCATGAACAAAAGCCGTGACTGACTAGTGTACACGTGATTTGACCTTGCCCGAAGGTACGTGGTACGACGTTGTTCACGTGCGCTGGCACGTGAACAGCACAATGGGCGCGGAATGCTGGACGCGGCGAGTGAAGAAAGGACGGCCCTTGAGGCTACGCACGTCCCTTCGCTGACCCGGCGATGTCGGGCCGCACCGCACAGTTGTCTTGCTGACCTCGGCGAGAGGACGCTCAGCTGGGCGCGACAAAGAACTGCACGCGGCGAGGCGTGACGTCACGGACACGTGAAGGCACCGGCCGGCTCGCTTGCCGAACACGTGATACGCGCGTGGCAAGCGAGCTTGCCCACACGGCTGCACTAATGCACACTGCCCGATGGTATACTCGCCGACACTTGGGAGTGCGCGGGAGCCGATGCACTAATGACGCGAAACTCTGATTTCCACGCACAAGCGTGATCGATTTGCTGAGGGCACGTGTGAGATACGCGGTGCGATCCGCGTGTGTCGGTGATGTCACGCAATTGAGACCGGGGATGAGCCTGGGGCCGAAACGTTTGCTGCACAGTTGTGCACAAAGTACAAATTGTAATACGCGAGTGCGTACAGAACTCGCAGCACCGAAAACAACGAGAGAATACGGTCGCCCGCGAGGCGAACTGAGAACGTGGCCGGATCGACGGAGAAACGTGACGACTTGTTCGGTGGCTCGGAATTAACTATACGGTTACCGACCGGCACAGCGCGCGACTACGGAACGATCGCGAACACCTGGCGCGGCTGTAGCTGCTGTTTTCGTCTGCTGACGCTTGGCGGCGGTTGCATCTGCGTGCGCCCTTGCACGTGTGTGTGTCGCACAGGCTGAGGTGCCACAGCTACTTCCCCCCCAGTGACCTCACCAGGGGGTGAGGAGAACGAAACTCTCTTATGCACTGGCATCGGCGGGTCAGCTGGCTTAGGCACAGGCGGCTGGGACAAGCCGGAGGCAGGCGGTTGTAGTGGGTTGGCGATTGGCGGCTCCGCTGCAGAGTCGTTCATCTCAAGGTACGCCGGCTTCAGTGCGTCCGCAGAGACTGCCCTCTCAGTTCCATCGATGAGGATGATGTAGGTCTTATCATTCGGTCTGCCCATGACCTTGTGGGGTCCCGTGTAGGGTGGCTCCAGTGGCTTCTTGACTGTGTCAACCCTCCTGAACACGTGCGAGCAGGAGCATAGGTCCCTGAACGCGAACGGGTTCCTTTGTGAATGTCTGGAGGCTGGTACAGGTTTGATGACCTGAAACAAGGAACGCAGCTTCCCTGCAAAGGTGGTGGAGTCAGCTGGGTTGCTCGTTGTAACGAAGAATTCCCCCGGAATTCTCAGCGATGTCCCGTACAACATCTCGGCAGGGGATGCCTGGATGTCATCCTTGTAGGCAGCGCGCAAGCCGAGCAGAACCACCGGCAGAAGATCAATCCACGGAGTGGGGGCACCACACATTAAAGCTGCTTTCAAAGTCCGATGGAATCTCTCCACCAAACCGTTCGACTGTGGATGGTAGGGCGCCGTGTGGATGTGTTTGGCTCCCAGTAACTGCGCCAGCGATGTAAATACAGATGACTCGAACTGAGTTCCCTGGTCCGAGGTGATTCTGAGAGGGGTGCCGTAAAGACAGACCCAGTGCTCCACCAATGCTTTAGCCACTGTATCCGCTCTCATATCCTTCAGCGGTACTGCCAAAGGCCACCTGGAGAATCGATCTATTACTGTCAGGCAGTACTGGTGTTCTCTTACCAGAGGCAGCTTGATGATATCCACGTGTATGTGGTCAAAGCGGTTGTCTGGCTCCACGAACTTATCCATGGCTGTTCTGTTGTGCCTGTGAACTTTTGAACGCTGGCACGGCTCACACTCACGTCCCCAGCGCGTCACATCTTTCCGCAGGCCAGGCCAAAAGAACTTCTGCTCCATGCATTGTGCCGTTGCGCGCCCACTGGGATGGGACGGCCCGTGCACAACGTCGAAGGCAGTCCGGCGCAGGGATGCCGGAATATGGCCTCACGACGCTTGTGGCGATGCTGCAGAAGATCTGGCCTCCGTCTACCTCCAGGCGGTGGAGCTCGAGGTTTGGTACATCTAACAGATTCGGCAGCTCAGAATCTGAGGCTTGAGCTTGCTGGATCAGCGTAGCGTCGAGGATGGTCGGCATGCCGACGGTCTCTATCCTGGAGAGCGCGTCCGCCACGAGGTTGTCATCTCCCCTTACTGCTTCAAACTTAATGTTGTACTGCAGAATGTAATCCAGTTGACGCTGAGCTCGAGGCGACGCCTTGTCAGATTTCTGCTGGGCGGCGAAGGTCAGAGGACGGTGATCTGTACGAACCGTGAAGAAACGACCCTCCAGTATGCGCCGGAAATGCTTGATGGCGGCAAAGATGGCCAGCAGTTCACGGTCGTAGGTGCTGTATTTCTGCTCCGTAGGGCTGAGCTTTTGTGAGAAGAATCCCAGCGGTTTCCATACTCCGTCCTGAAGCTGCTCCAGAGCGGCCCCTATGGCAGTGCTGGAAGCGTCGGTTACCAGGGCGAGTGGTGCGTCCTGCGCTAGGAACGTAGCCCTGGTCGCTGACTGGATGCTGGCCTTGGAGTCAATGAACGCTTTGTCCGCTTCAGGCATCCACAAGAGCGGTTTCGATGATTTTCTCGGAAGTCCCTTCAGGAGCTCGTTCAGGGGAGCCTGGAGCTCGGATGCGCCCTTTATACAGCGCCTATAATAGTTAATTATTCCCAGATACCTGCGCAGCTGTTGCGCACTGGCAGGTTTTGGGAAGCGCGCGATTACTTCGACCTTGCTCTCGGGTGGTTGGTAACCGTCCTTGGAGACCAGGTAACCCAGGTGGTAGACCTCCGAGGCGCCGAAGACTGACTTCTCCATGTTCACGGCGAGCCTTGCCTTGCGCAGCGTAGCGAAGAGTTGCTGCAGGTGTTGCAGATGCTGCTTATGCGTGTCCGAGGCAACCAGTAGATCGTTGAGATACGGACGAACGAACGGCATTTTACGAAATAGCGCGTTCACGTATCTCTGAAACGTCTGAGCAGAGTTCCGGAGTCCCAGAGGTGTGCCTAAAAACTCGAACAACCCGAACGGAGTTGTGATTGCCGTCTTCCCCACGTCTCCAGGTGCTACTGGAATTTGGTGGAATGCCTTTTGGAGGTCGACCTAAGAGAAGACGGAGCAGCTGTGACAGTCCTGGAGAAGGTCCTTTATTAGCGGCAGCGGATACCTATCGGGCACCGTGATGGCATTCAAGCGGCGGTAGTCACCCGTAGCGCGCCATCCTCCATTTGCCTTTTTCACCAAGTGAAGCGGACTAGCCCACTGGCTGGAGGACGGGCGGATGATCCCCTGATCCAACAGCGCGTTAAACTTTTCCTTTGCTGCCGACAAGCGTTCCCCAGACAGGCGGCGTGGACGCTCGAATACAGGCGGAGCCGTGGTGTGTATCGCGTGCTCGACGGGCGAATCCTCCAGCACAGCAGTCACCCTTGATGGCAGGGCTAAGTCAGCGAACTCACGAAGAAGGTGTTCGTACCTCTTCCGGAAGGGCCCGTCAGCCACACGCGACGTCTGCACCGTGGAGACCGAGTGTGTTCCCGGGTGATGGCAGATCCCCTCTGCTGAGATGGTTGTGAGGGGGTCGGTGAGCCTCCTTCTCTTAAGGTCGACCGACAGTCCAAAATGACTTAAGAAGTCCACACCGAGGATAGCTGTCCTGACATCGGCAATGATGAATGTCCATCGGAAAACACGCCTCAGCGAGAGGTCCAGCTCTAATGTCCGCTGGCCGTAGGTCGCAATGGACGAGGCGTTGGCTGCCTGCAGCGTCAGGTCTTGCTTTTGGAGCCGTCCCTTGAACGAGGCTCGGGGCAACAATGATACCACCGAGCCAGAGTCCACCAGGAACTTCTGGTTGGTCCTCCGATCAAATATGTGCAGGCGGTTCTCTCTATACGACTGCGCGCCGGGCTCGAAGGCCTGCACTGGGGCCGGCGGCGTCAGTTTCCCTGGCTCTTGAAGCTGAAGGAACAAGGCTGACGACAGTTCATCGCCTGGGCGCCCCAGCGCCGATGGTATGTGCAGATGCGGCCAGACGTCTCGCTTGGAGGAGTCCTGGCCCGAGAACGCGGCCTGCGTGGAGTCGTGACCGAGGTGTGCTGCGCTGCGGCGTTACTCTCCAGTGTGGCTAGTATTTCCCGGTTAATACCAATTAGCTGCGCCAGGGTGACGCGCAATGACGCCAGCTCCGAGGCGACGCGGTCCGAAAGTCCCTGGGAGTCGCTCCGGCTGGAGGACGAAGATCCAACAGAGGAAACCGTCACCGTGTTCGGAGGCTCTGAGGCTGGTGGTGCGGCTGAAGCTACGCTGGGGGCCGTCTCCACAATCTCGTCTGCGACAGCAGCGAGCTCCTCGAGAGTCGGCGACTTGAGGATTCGCAGGAGTCGCTGTGCGCTAACTGGCAGCAGGTCGAGCCACTTCACTCTGAGCACGTCATCTGGCACTCTGCTTGCAAGGCCCCGCATGTGGCGGAGCAACTGCGATGGACGCTTGTCACCAAGCTCGAGCTGCGTCAGGAGCTTAAGGAGTTGCCGATCTGCCGAATCCGTCAGTCGTGACAGGATGGCTTGTTTCAGAGCTTGGTACCGCTCCGTAGCCGGAGGCGACCGGATGACATCTTCGATGTCGGTCAGCGTGTCAGGGTCCAGCATGCTAAGCACCATATTGTAGCGCGACTCGTCCCCTCTTACTCGACTGAGCTGAAGAGCGGCTTCGGCCTGGACGAACCAGAAATCCGGTTTTGCACGCCAGAAAGGCGGCAGGCGACACGAGCCTACGGCCTCGATCGTGGCGACGTCGTGGTCGATCCCCACGTTTGGACCGATGCTGGCCCGGTGGCGAGAACGTTCACCAGCTGGCATACTTTCACGCGGCGGCTGGGCGACACCGGGATCGTCCGCGGGGCTCCGCACCGGCGAATGGAGCATGATACAGGCGCACTACTCGCTCGGGACACACGCGGCGCACAGGTGTCGACCGGGTGAACGCCGACGAAATGGACGCACTACACCTCGAAGCACACAGGTGGGCACGTGAGCACCGGCTATCGCAATGTGCACGAGGGTTGACGGGTACCTCGTCGACGCAGTCCTAAAGCCTTTTTTTTGGGTGTCACTCACTAATGGGGATGCACTACTTAATTACTACCACAGATCGCTCGCAAACAAAAAGAAAGAAAACGCAGAAACGCAACATAGAAAGTCAGCGCGACAATAGAAACATATCACGTCGGGGTCACCACTATGGGGAGTGAGGGGTGGTGTACCGGCGGTTCCCGCCGACCCCTCGATGTGCGCGAGCCACACACTCCTCATAAAAATTAATAATAAATACGTTCGTCGTTTACGCACTGAACTTCAGTCTCAGTAGAAAAATATACTTTATTCTGTTGCACACAAACTACGCTTACTTAACTATACGGTAACATTTATACAAGAGAGAAAGAAAACTATGATAGCGTGACGTGGCTATCCACACGGTCACGAGCGAAAAACAGATCAACCGATAACAAGGCTCGCGCGAACCAAACACACTAGACGACTCATGAACAAAAGCCGTGACTGACTAGTGTACACGTGATTTGACCTTGCCCGAAGGTACGTGGTACGACGTTGTTCACGTGCGCTGGCACGTGAACAGCACAATGGGCGCGGAATGCTGGACGCGGCGAGTGAAGAAAGGACGGCCCTTGAGGCTACGCACGTCCCTTCGCTGACCCGGCGATGTCGGGCCGCACCGCACAGTTGTCTTGCTGACCTCGGCGAGAGGACGCTCAGCTGGGCGCGACAAAGAACTGCACGCGGCGAGGCGTGACGTCACGGACACGTGAAGGCACCGGCCGGCTCGCTTGCCGAACACGTGATACGCGCGTGGCAAGCGAGCTTGCCCACACGGCTGCACTAATGCACACTGCCCGATGGTATACTCGCCGACACTTGGGAGTGCGCGGGAGCCGATGCACTAATGACGCGAAACTCTGATTTCCACGCACAAGCGTGATCGATTTGCTGAGGGCACGTGTGAGATACGCGGTGCGATCCGCGTGTGTCGGTGATGTCACGCAATTGAGACCGGGGATGAGCCTGGGGCCGAAACGTTTGCTGCACAGTTGTGCACAAAGTACAAATTGTAATACGCGAGTGCGTACAGAACTCGCAGCACCGAAAACAACGAGAGAATACGGTCGCCCGCGAGGCGAACTGAGAACGTGGCCGGATCGACGGAGAAACGTGACGACTTGTTCGGTGGCTCGGAATTAACTATACGGTTACCGACCGGCACAGCGCGCGACTACGGAACGATCGCGAACACCTGGCGCGGCTGTAGCTGCTGTTTTCGTCTGCTGACGCTTGGCGGCGGTTGCATCTGCGTGCGCCCTTGTACGTGTGTGTGTCGCACAGGCTGAGGCGCCACATATATATGCAGTACTTTCAATAAGTACTGCGATATTGTAACCGTTAAAGTGTGTATTGGAGAATAATAAATTATATGTTTACCAAAAAATCTGCTGTCTGATACTTTTCCATTCATTCTGTGATTCATTCATTATGCTAAAACTTGCTCTAATATAACGATTTAGATAGGGACCATTTAAAGTCGATGCGTTGCGCGTCATCTAAAGCACAGCTGATTTGGTGCAGAGCCTGCTCTGGTTTTGCTGCGAATCTGCTCTCAAGTTTTGTGCGCAAGCGTTGCTTGGGTTTTGTAACCTATCTGCTGCTGTTATGCATGCAGGCTCTGCGCGGTTTTTGCTGCAAATTTGTACCAATTGCCCGACAACAGACGTTGCCGCATATCTGACAGCAGTTTGGCAGCAAAATTTGATATAACAGGTCCTGCATCAAATTTGTTGCGTATTTGCCATCAACCCTTGGTAGCAGGCTTTGCTCGAAATTTGTTCGCGCAGATTTTGTTATCTGAGACGCTTAGGGTTATCGTAGCGTATCCACTTTTCATCGTCAGTCACGATACGATCCAAAACACCTTTCCTTTTCTGTCGTTGAAGCAGCTGTTCACACGTGAAAAGACGCCGTTCCACGTCTCTCGGCTTCTACTCGTACGGCACCCAATGTCATTGCTTTTGAATCATTCTTAATGCTTTCAAACGTTTCGAAACTGTTGTGTGATCAACTCCGAATGATTCTGCAAGTTCAGCTAGCGTCTGACATGAGTCTTGATGAAGTAATGCCTCCAATTCTTCGCCTTCAAACTTTTTCTGTGCGCCAGAGCGTTCTTTATCTTCAACATCAAAATCATTATTTTTGAAGCGTCTAAACCAATCTCTGCATGTTGTTTCCGACAGAGCATGATCCGTAAGTTTCAACAAGAATTCTGTGTGCTTCAGCTGCAGATTTTTTTTGAATAAAGTAGTGCAGTAAAATTCCCCACAAATACTCTTTTTTTGGCACAAAACTCGACATGTTTAATATTATGAAAAAAGAAGTGTTTACACTTCGGCGAAATGACATACACTGAATTTCAAGCTTGCTTATAGTACTTCCTTATAGATGCGTTACCATCTTAAACTACACGTACGCAGTTCTGGTAACGTCATCCGTTGGAAAACAGCGAGAACTTATTCAAGGTCCTGATATATTCTTTGGTCAACGCGCCCATGCAACTGTTTATCGCGATGTCGCGGTATATATACTACTGTGTCCAAAAAGTATGACCAGTTTTCAATTTAAATCGCGCGGATAAACCGCACATCATAAATTTTTTTTCTAAGTTGACAGCATAGTGACAGACATCTGTGACAAATTTCAAAACATTCATTACTTTTTGCTTTACGCTTGGTTTTGTACGACGCTAAAAGTGCATTCCGCGATTTTTACAATGTCTAATTATATTGAGCAAAGAAATTGCATTAAATTTTGTTTGCGGAATGAAATTTCGGGTGCAGAAACGTTCAGAATGTTGCAGAAAGCCTTCGGGGACCATGCTTTGTCGGAAAGGAATGTTTACAAGTGGTATAAACAGTTCAAAGAAGGTCGTGAAAGTGTTGAAGACAAAGAGCGTTCCGGACGACCGTCAACCTCTACCGATGAACAACACGTCAAGAAAATCGAAGAACTTGTGGTTGCTAATCGTCGAAAGACTGTTAGAGACCTTGCTGATGCTGTTGGTATTTCGAAAGGATCTGCCAATACCATTTTGAAAGATATTTTGGGCCTGAAACGTGTAAAATCTCGACTAGAGCCAAAACATCTCAATTTCTTCAGTAGATATAGTATAAGGGTTCTAACCCAGGTCCTCTGAGGGGAGTGAGGGGCAGGGGGTACCGCGGGCAGGGGAGTATGACATCACCGGGGGGATGACGTCACAGGAGGGAGTATGACGTCACCGCGGAGGTGGTTATCAGCGGTTGGTAATTGGGGAGAGGCATACCGATGTTATCGACGGTCGGTAATTTTTTACCGATATTATATAACATTTAATTACATAATTTTTTACCAACATATAATTACACAATACCTATAGTACCGACGATCGGTAATTTATTACCGATATTATATACCAACATTTAATTTTTTAATTTTTACCAGCACATATATTTTTACATAATTTTTACTGTCATATTTACATAATACCGATGATCGGTAATTACCGATATCATATAATTTTTTCTATCTGCTTTCGATAGATCATTTAACCGATCTGCGGCGGTTTTCTCGCAGCGGTTTTCGCAGCCGTTTTTCGCGGCGGTTTCCGCGGCGGATTTTGCGGCCAGTTTTGCGCCGCCCGCGCCGTCCGCGCCGTCCGCGCCGCTCGCGCCGTTCGTGCCGCCCGCGCATTTCGCAGCGTGATTTTTTTAGTTACAGCTGCAAACTCTAATATTCTGCAAACGTATGCATTCGACAATTAGATGCGCAAGAAAAAGAATGTGACACATGATATTCTTATTACTAATGAGCACGTACACTGTGTCTCCGCGACAAGATTTTGTATGTTCTACATCACTCGCTGCGCTCCACAAAAAGACCGAATAATATTTTAAGACTATTTGTGGTGTATCGAGAAAATATGGGAAAAGGACTGATGTACATAAACAGCAGATCTTGGGATTACAATTTATATATTTTGAAAGTGTTACATGTACAGATTATTTGTTCAATACTTCATAAATAATATCATTCATTGCGCACGCCAATATCTCGCAATCGATGAGTGAACCACCGTCAAAATCCCCGCTATTGTATATCGCCGATATAGCATTATCTGTTTCGGTAATATTCTTCTCTCGAAGAATTTTTACAAAATTTCTACATTTTGTATTAACAATGTGTGTATTTTCATATAACCATGAGTACATATGGTCAATGCAATGCTCGAGAGTAAACAAATGTTCCACTGTAGCTGGTTGCAAGTACATGCAGTTACCGGATAATGTGAGTTTTAAAAGTTTCTTGCCGTACATTGTGCACCATTCCACCGCCAAATCGCGAATCCATAGCGGAGAGGATGACACCTCGGTTGTTTGCAAAAGTTGTAAAATACCTTCACGTTTTGCCATCAATCCTCCCCAAATTGCCGAGTGTAAGACCAATTGATTGCCACGATTGTCACCGAGGACTAGTTGCACTGTGGATACCAGTCCTACGCTGATCCCAATCTCCAAGTACTTAAAAGACGTTGACGTCAAGGCATATCTTCGCCCTAAAATACGGGCTGTACAACGAGATTGCGATACACTGTAAAAACATAAATAATTTAACGCGGTTGCAATACATAATTAAAGATAAATGATTTACAAGAAGATAATTATTGAGACTTACCTTTTTTCTCGTACGGTGGAGCATCATCTTGCACGTAATAGTACGTAATAGTTCATACGTTTTCTTTCAGCACTGTGCATTCTTTTCAAAATAATAATCGTCTACTAAATGTCATTGTTGCAAAACAACTGATGCAACGAGCGACCAAGAGC